GGAGGGCAGTGTTAACCTACCAATCACGGTCTGACGCCACCATGTCCAACAACAAAAACGATTCCTATCACAGATTGTCAGTTAGCGATTTAATCAAATCATCATTAAGCCCTGTTTCTGCCTGCTTTTCCCTGCACTGTCAACAAACAGAAAATCCTTTGGAAAACAGAGCATCCAAAAGCCCAGAGGTGACTCAACTAAATCTGTCAAACCAATACAATGCATAATTCATCACACCATTTACTGTTACAGAAACAAAGGATGCCAAGCCCTCCTCACTAATGGCTAATGGTGTGCGAGGGTGAGGGATAGGGATAGAGAGACAGAAAGAGACAAAGAGCATGCATTAGAGCCTACTAAAGAGAAGTAAGACAGCAAATAGGTAAGATGATGACGAGCTAAAATGTGACAGATTTATGCACCCCCTCAATATAATCCTAAAGCAGATAAAATCTGTTGTGTGTGAGTACCTGAAGCTCCCAGAAGATACTGCGTGTGTGTCTGTGATAGTAGTGTCTCAGAGGGATGTACTCAACTCCAGCGCAGTCTTTCTTCAGGTAGCCCTCCACGTGTTTAAAGAACCAGGGTTTAAAGTGCAGGCCGATTCTGTTAATCTGATGTTGAAGAGGAAACGGGAAGGTTAATATGATAAAACAGATGAAAACAAATCGCAAGCACAGTCGAAGATGCCTTACCTTGTCAGGCTCTGCGTGGTCAGTCATGGTTCCTGTCATGATAACGGCACTATCCAGACTATACTGGAGTCCCTCAACAAATGTGTTCTGCTTGTTCGCAGAAGCTTCGGTGAAGCGTTTACAGATGTTCTCAAGCCCTCTGACCGGCTCATAGTGCAGCTTCACCCAAGGCTTAGCTGGGACTATTTTAATCTCAGCGGCAACCAAGAAGCCCAGAGTGCCACAGGACCACGGGACGGCGTGGAATAGATCCGAGTTCTCCTCCTTTATGAAGAAGAAGAAAAAAAAATTACAAAGGTGTGTGGCCCTCTTCTGAATATGACTGTGAAGAGCCAGGCTTTCTGACATTAGGGTATTTGTCTCAGTTTTTCCTCACATACTTCACAGTAGCGACCAGTTTATCTTCTCACAAAGATCACGCTGTCTCCTTTTGGGGTGAAAAATCCTAACATGCAAGTGTGACAAACCAGAAACGGGGCTTGGAACACAGTGTATTTGTCTTTGATGAACCACATTACTGTATTTAGTTATTTTATTTTACCAGCAAACAGTTGTAGCCTATAAAAAAAATAGCCTATTTTTAGCTCGAGAGAGTTAAAGGGAATTACGCAGGAATTTTTACTCAATCCTTGCCCATTTCTGGTAAACAGAAGGACTTAAAATAGATAATATTAACTAGAATAGACTAAACAGAGACACAAATGATAATCATAACATCAGTGACATAGTAGCTCACCCCAGTTCAGAGGTTACTGAAATGTATGAAGTATAGAAAGAAAGCTATAGTTTGTGTTGTTATTGGTTGGCTGTATTACACAAACTAATGAGAATACAAATCTATTGTGAAGTCATTGAGGCTCACAATCATATCCAGGACAAATGAATTTCCTTTAGCTAAAATCTAGGACTACTAGCAATTGTTATGAAAAATGTAAAACTGCCTGTAAAATGACCAATGTGACACTGATCTTAAGCACAATTGGGATGAAGACTCATCAGGGGTGGGCAATTAATTTTCCCAAGTGGCCACATGAAAAACTAGGCTTGTTGCGGAGGGCAAAACCATCAAAATTATAAAGAGATGAAGTTATTATTTAGCAGAACTGAGTTCAGCTTAAGTGGGATAGGCTCCAGCCCCCAAATATGCGACCCTGTTAAGGATACGTGGAAGAGAATGGAAGAAACAGTCGTAGTTTCTCATGTGGCCTATTAGGAAAATTAATAGCCCACCCTTGCATTAGGTGATCAGTGTGCACAAGTTTGACTAAAATCTGCTCAAAACTTGAGGAGGAGTACCGATTTGTGAACTGTGCAGAAACAGATTAGCCCACTGGTCCTTTGACCAGGTGAGCTAAGAAGGAGAAATGTTTCTATCCACTGAAACTGAGGGTAAAAGTTTCCATAGTTATTTTTCATGGTGAAATTTTAGTGCGTTCTTGCTAATGAACCTTCTACCATGAATTAAAACCATGCTAATATAGTGAACACCAGATACTCCATCTGAGCAAAGCTGATTTCACTGCCTATGGATATTTCTTCAAATAGAAAAGCAGAGACAGCGTAATTGAAATCATAATTTTGTTATCTCAAAAAGCAGAGATAATTTAGTAAGGCATGAGTGCAAGGATGGCATACTAACCCACAAAACTCTCTTTAGAATACAAGCTCCTGGACTCAGACATATATCATCTATATACTTAACACAAAATCAATACTCACCTCTGTGCAGCGTACTAAACTGCCATCAGCTAGAACCAGTTCATAGGCAACACAGATGTGCTGAAACAGCCCATAAATATGGGATGACGACTCTATGCCGGTACCCATCACTAGCCCACCTGAGAGAGGACAGAGAATCATAAACGTCCTTTACTAATTCAATTTCTACCCGGGTGAGTACAACACCAGGCGGACACATGAGCAGACAGGAAGATCTGCCTGCTGTGAGTGTGTGTGTGTGTGTGTGCGCACGCGTGTGTGGACATGAGGATAAATTAATGTACTGCGGCCTGATTGGAAAACATTAGACTGTTGATGCGTTGTTTATAACATCAGGAAATCCATTATGAAACCCAATCCAGGGGTGCTTCCAACACTGCAGCCATTTCCTCCCAGTTTCGTCTTTTGAGCTACAACATCAATCCTCTAACGCGATTAGAAAAGTCGTTGAGGCTCTAAACAGGATGCAGTGACTGACAGAGGAAATGCAGGATTTACATCAGTGAAATCGGTGTCGACATCATCGGTACATCTCTCTATTTGCAGAAACCACAGAAGGTGCCGATCCATGATTCCAATGAAAATAAAGCACAACGTACCCACAGTGAGGTCATCCAGCTCTGGCAGCACTGGCAATGTCCAGCCGATGGAATTGAGGAGAGCGGTGACTTGACCCATGTTTGCCAGCGGTTCAACTCTAACCACCTAAAAAACAAATATATTTTTAAGTAACAATCCACCAGCAGGTTCTCCTGCTTCCATCTCACCCTCCTTTGTCACACCAACCCCTCTGCATGTCCTTCTTCACTACAGCTTCCTCTTTTGCTTCTGCCTGCCAACTCTATATTCAACACTATCCCTCCTCAAACACATGTCCAAATCATCTTGCCTCTCTATCTTTGTCTCAAAAGATAGATCCTCACAACTTACGTGGAACTCGTGCCTGCATGAAAGTATTGAGCCAAATAATTAGACAATGTGCCATGCAGAAATAAACACTTTCTGTGAATGTAAGAAATGGCCTCAGTCTATCCATCCAGGTACAAACTGTTTGATTCCAACACTGTCTGGACTATTTGGACTGCATGGACTACATGGACATTTATAAACTGCTCAGTCCACCTTAAAGACTTAGGGTTAAGGACGATCAATAATTTTCAGTCGCTGGTCGAGAATAGTTTTCCACTTTTAATTAAGTCTTCGATTTCTCTCAAAGTTTTAACACTTAACATTAATGTCTGCTTAAGATATTGCAATAATTCACCCAACTTTTATCTGATTGGCTGTAGCTCAGGTGGTAGAGCAGGTCACCTACTGATTGGAAGGTAGGTGGTTCGATTCATGGCTTCCCCTAGTCTGCATGCTAAATATCCATAACCCCAAATTGCTCTCCGATGCATCCATCGGAGTGTGAATGTTAGCTAAAAAAGCACTTAGACAAATGTGCTGGTGTGAATGCACAAGTTGTATAAAGCGCTTTGAGTGCTCAGAAGAGTAGAAAAGCGCTATATAAGAACCAGTCCATTTACCATGATTGGCTCATTGTTGCTGAGCTCTCTTTAAAGACACATTTTTAAACATGTTTTATAAATAAACAGACAAAATCAATCAAATAGCTGCCATTCACATCATAAAACAAGACGTGGTAAATTAACATAGCCATTCTTTTCCCTACAGATAGAAAGTTTTTATTATTGCATTAATATGTTTTAATGATAGATGTCAAAGCACAATTTTTTAAAATAATACCTCTATTGTATTTTCATTACTATCTGACTTACTAACTGGGGAACTTGACAGAACTGAGCCCAGGTTGATGCTGTTTCATCGGTTACAAATATTTCTGGTTGAGTTCACACATACGAAACACTTGGAGCTGAGTTTATTGCCCCCTCATACCTGCCTCTTTGTGTCCACCTCTAGAATGTCCATCATGTTGATCATAATGTTCTTGTGGGTTTTCTTGTACTTGCCCACTCTGAGAGACACGGTGAGCCAGCCGGGGCGACCTGTACACATGTAGGTCTTAGCGCCCTCCTTTCTCCAGTCGCGCACCTGAAATGTCACATATGGAGATGTCATGGTTGGTATCCATTAGGTGACAGCAAAATCCTTTTAGTGATATAGCTGTTGAGTGATTAGTTAATAAGTTTAAGTTATTGAATAACTGATTCCCTTTAAACGAGTCTAATTAGTTGAGGTGAAACCACACTACTGTTTAACTTTACAAAGCTGCTTGTAATCCACAGAATATACACACACAGTACATCTGTTATCCCATCTGAATCAAAAGCAGCCTGTTAAAGTTTCCACAAGCATGACTCACTGCAAACAACACATGAAACGTTATGATCAATAACTGACTGTAATTGTTATTGATCATTAAATATCATGGTGGCCCAAATTAAAAGGGACGACTCTGCAACATGAATGAAACATTGAGATGTAATAGAAATAAAGCTGCGTGCCTTATCAGTTTAGTAATGATGGATTGCAGTAATGACCGAAAAGGACAGTGCAGCTCTGACACCTGTTCACGCGGACACGCTCACCTGTCTCTGGATGTCTCGCACGCGCTGGTCGTGCAGTTTGGGCGCAGAACACATCTTGAAAATGAGCCACGCTCTCGCATAGTAATACACATCAAATATAACGGAGAGCGGCAGCAGGAACAAGCACACAAATATCCACCTCTGGTGAACTATCACGTAATCTAGACCTTTGACTTTGATCCACAGCACGAACAAAACCACCAAACCTCCTAAATACAACAGTGGAACCATCGTGTCCGGGCAGATCGGCACTCACTCTCCTCTCTTTCCAAACTAAAGATATCCGCTTCACTTCTCAGCTGGGGAAGTAGCGCTTTTGGTGAACTCTGTATTGATTATCCCAACCCCCAAAACTCGATTTCTGATCACCCCTTCGCTGGGATAGGTGAGCACGGCTAGGTGGTAGGCAAGCCCCTCCCCTGCTTAACATTGATTGGGCGATAATACCAAAGGGGCGGAACCTGTCGTGTAAGCTTTAAGTTAACTGGTCCACTAAGTGACTGAAGGGAATACCAGAAACGTAGCCTTTTTGTTGTTTACCCAATCACGGAGCACGCATGCTGTCACACCATGCACCGTGTCCTCATGGCTGTGTTACAACACTGTATTTACACAGTATCACAGGTTGGAGCCTGTAGTTTAATGCGGACACTTTAAGTTTAAATTAACTTCTGCAGTTTCTTGCAGAAGCAGGCTTTGTCATAATCAGTGCATGAATGCACTCCCAACATGTCCATGGCTGTAGGTCAGTTACATGCATTGTTTTCTCCATCTTTTATAAAGTAACTGGTCCATTAGATACATGTTCATTTATAGTGTGCGCATGTAAATCAGTGGATAGTAATAAACCTAAGTGTGCCTACCCCCTTTGGTGCAGATTAGCTGTTGAAAGGAGAGACATTAATGATCCTTTCTGGTCGAATCAAAGCAGCCTACCTTTCCACAGTATTGGCATCATTAGGTTAAATGGCTGGAGTTTGTGTTTACTACTAATAGCAAAAGTTAAAAAGCTAAAATTGTAACAATTACACCTTTTAAAATAAAAGCTGACCTATGTCTGAATACATTTTCACAAGCATGCGCTTAGCCAGCTATGAGGCCACCAAGGTTCACAGTGTGGTCTTTTTTTAATTCATTTTTTCATTTTTTTTTATTTTGGAGTTTAAAATAAAAAATTGAAGCCAAATGAAAGTAGACACTCGTTTTCAGATTATTTTTGGCATTTAGATTGGACATCCCTTTTTTTGGTCCTCTCAGCCATACAGCTGTGTCTGTGAGCTCACAAGCCCCACACACTTGCTGTTCAAACTTTCTGTCTCTGAGGGGCAAAAAGATAGGTGGTGGACTTGATATGGCAGACTTGAAGATGTTAAGACTTTTTTCTACAGTGGTCAAGATGGAGAGATTAGAATTGTCATCGGGCCAGCTCAGGTTCCAGCGGTTTGGAGACAAAGTTAGAGAGGATAAGCTGAGATGGTTTGTACATGTGCAGAGGACAGATAGACTCGACAAAGGATGTAAAAGATGGAGCTACCAGCCATGAAGAGACGAGGAAGACCACAGAGAAAATGTAGTGAAGGAGGACAATGCACGAGATTGTGTGACGTAAGAGGATGTGAGGGATAGGGTTAGATGGAGGCAGATGATCTGCAGTGGGGATTTAAAAAGAGCAGAGAAAAGAAGAAGGGGAAGGAGCTTAACAGCCAACTTTTAGACAGACTATGACTAAATCTATCATCACATTAAGTTTTAGGATGCATTGGTGCAAATGACTGGGATGTCTTCATAAAGGCAAATCAAGTGCTTGTACTGTCATTTCTGATCTGAGCACCCTAACCTCATCTGAACCTCATCTGCTCCTGACAAATACCTCCTACAATATAATACCAGATTGACAGGTCTCAGTCCATAACAACAATCTAAAGGTCCAGGTGAAAATGGCTTGTTTATATCAGACAACAAAGGACTATGGCCAGACTGCTTCAAGTTGATAGGCAGGTAACAGTAACTCAAATTACCACTCGTTACAACAATGATATGCAGCAGAGCATCTCTGAATGCACTTTACATCCACATCGAACCTTAAAGCAGATGGACTGCAGTGTAAGACCACACCAGGTGCCACTCCTGTCAGCTAAGAATGGGAAATTGAGGCTGCAATTCAGGTACGCCAAAACTGCATTACATAAGTTTAGAAAGATGCTGCCTGCTCTAATGAGTCTTGATTTCTGCTGCTTTCATTCAGATGGTATGGTGAGAATTTGGCATAAATGACATAAAAGCATGAATCCATGCAACATTGTATCAATGTTTTAGGCTGGAGGTAATGGTTTACTGATTAGGGCATTATCTTGAGCTCCTTAGTATAAACTCAGCATCATCTGTACACCACAGCCTGCCTGAGTATTGTTGCCATCCTTTAATGGCCACAGTGTCCCCATCCTCTGATGGCTACTTCCAGCAGGATAACATATCATGTAACAAATCCCAAGTCATTTCATAAATGATTTCTGGAACACAACAATAAGTTCAGTCTCCTCATGTGGCCTCCACTGTCACGAGATCTCAATCCAATACAGCACTTTTGGGATGTGGTGGAACAGGAGATTCCCATCATGGATGTGCAGCCAACAAATCTGGAGCAGCTGTGCGATGCTGTCATGTCAATATCGGCCAAAATCTCTTTCCAGCACCTTTGGCATAAATAACTAAATTTACTCTTAAAGCAAAACAGTCAAACATGGTGCTAGCAGGGTGTACTTAATAATGTGTCCATTATTAAGTTTACATTGGTTAGTAATTAACCCTGTAACAAATTCAGTAGGTGTTTTTCATCAAACTGTGTGGTAAGCAAAAATGGAAAATCCTCTTCCAAGTAATTTTTTTTAAAAGGAAGCATCCTTTATATGTCACTCTAACTTGTTCACAATGCTGTGATGTGGATTGTTTCATAATGTGGAAAACACATTTTGTTACAGGATATAGGACTGAACTTGTGTCTATTTTACATCCAGTACGTCCATTTATGTTTAGAGAAGTGGTTTTGGCACTCTCTCTCTTTCCCTCTTACTCTCTCTCTCTCGCTGAAACACACACACACACACTCACACACACACACACACACACACACACACACACACACACACACACACACACAGGGCTAAAGTGGTACCCTTCAGACACATTAGACAGAGGGAGGGTGGGGCGCCAGTAAAGATTTCTTAATGGGCTCGGCCGCTCTCTCGTCCATCTGCCTTGATGATAAACACACAGCTACTCAACATTAGCCTGATGCGCCTCAAAGCAGTCGACATTTTATTTCTCTTTATTTTTCAACAAACTGTCACTTTTAGGACTTTTCCGCTGCTGGAGACCAACAAAGCAAGAACCAACACACATGGTGAATGATCAGGAGTATTTTATCAGTAATGGAGATGGAAATGACGGGATCAAAAGAGTAAAAATTAGGAGGAATTCCATGTCACGGGATTTCTGGAACTGTGGAGTAAATTTTTTGGATGCCTGGTCAGTGTCAGAGCGCATGGGGAACACACTTCGTGAGTCTGTTTATGTGTGAGTGACACTAACCAGCCGGTCACAGCCGCACAGTAACCTCTGAAACAGTTAACAGTCCTGGAGAAGGATGCCTTCCCTACATCATGGAGCAATCTTCACCGGAGCCTTCCTCATTGTGACTGGGGGGGCCACAGCCTTCCTGACTTCATCCCAGAGTCGCCTGCAGGCTTTCTCCCTCTGCTGTGTGGTGCTGGGGGTGGTCATGCTCATCCTTGGGTTATTTTGGGCTATGAACAGCAAAAGTGCTGCTAATTACAACCACAGCGAGTACGACCAAGAGTGCCCGCATTATTCGTACGAATACACCAACTACCCCGGCCAAGCCTACTTCACTTCCCCAGGGAATCGGTTCCCAGAGTCCCAGTCAGTGTTTCTGCCCAGGTGGGTGAAAGAAAAACAAGCTCAGTTCGTATTATTAGATCTGCTTTTGTTGATCTTGTTACCATAAACTAGAAATTATGAGTCCAACTATTCATAGCAGGTTTTCTAAACAAACAAAGAAATGAAAAAAGACATTTATTTAATCCATAGAGTAGATGTTATCATGAGACAGTTATCTACACGGCTAATGTCTGCTTATTGTTGTCCACTTCCCAGTCATCCATGTCCTTTTTGGACAGAGGCATCCTTCTATACAATTAAATGTCAAAGAGGCTTAAATGCAATGACAGTACATTGTCGTCTATTCTATACACACCCTTTTTGTACAGTTTTTTAATTTTATTTTAGCCAAAAAGCACAAACAAGGTCGATTAAATCTAAAGAGAAAGAAATGACATCTTTCACACTGATGACTGTGAACAACCTTACAAAACACCCGATTACTTTAACACCATAAAGACAAGATAGAAAATGGTCTAAATAAAGTGACTACAAATTAAAAGAAACAGACTATTTGTTCTCAGGCTCTTTAGATGAGAAGACTCGGATTCCAGACTGGTGTCTGTAGCTAAAGGTACATTTAGAACCAGGAGATTAATTCAATTCAGTTCAATTCAATTCGATTCAATTCAATTCGATTCAATTCAATTCAATTCAATTCAATTCAATTCAATTCAATTCAATTCAATTCTATTCAATTCTATTCTATTCTATTCTATTCTATTAGATTTATATAGCACCACTTCACAACACAGGTGCTTTTTAGTGTAAGGTACAGACTCAACAAGAAGACCCTACTGCCTGTTATAAAGACTATACATGTTGGTTACAGCTATGCTGACTCATGACTTGGCTGTGTATAAATATAATGGGTTTTTCCACTGAGAATAGTGTGTCTGTACAGTTTAAGATAGGAGTGTTGTGGTTTGCTTTCTGCCTGTATTTAACTTCTTCACCTATCCAACATATTAGCATACGCAGCTGTTCAGCCAGTTGTATCAGCGACATCATTAAAACCACTGCCAGGTGACATGCATTGCACAGATAATTTCCTTACAATGCAGTGTTTTTGGTGGGAAAACCCGAGTCCTCTGATTCATTTGCGTGTTATTTCCTCATTTTCCAGCCGCCTAAAAGGTGCAGAACAAGCACACCTGGCAACAGTGACACACTGTTGCAGGACAGTGTTCCCTTAGTCCTAGACCTAAGGCTTGCGTTGGTCTCCAACTTTCCAGATATAGGTGCATTTGAGCATCCAATGGGCCAGAAGAAGCACTAAAAACCCAACCCATAATTATCAGGTTACAAATGATCCACTACCCCAGTGCCAGACACCACAAAACATCCCAAGAGAAACTGTGTTCGAACTGAGGTGGGCCTATGGAGAACGTGCTTTTTCAATCCACCAGGGGATAAAGGAAGTAGTTTTACTGACTGATTATAAGTACTCGTACTTGTTTGTGTAATAATAGTGTAATAATAGTATAAGTACTTGTTTGCACTCTGATGAATGAACACGGAAGTCACAGTTAATGATGTTGGGCAACTCAAGGCAATTGTCTGTTTATTAAGATTTAATCCTACATCAAGCAAAGATCTACAATTAACCTGACAGAGAAATGTGTCTTGAAGGGGGTTGGTTGATGTGTGCAAAATGTGCTACCTGCAGACTAACAGTTTCCCCGTTTATGTCTTTATGATGAACTAAATGTCTAAGTTTACATTTATACATCAGAGATGACAATATTCTGATCTTAGATGTCTCTCTCCAAGTATGAATACTCGTGTTGTGCAAAGCTTCAAATATTGCTTTATTTTAGAAAGTTATGCTATTCCTTTAATCAAGTATGCCTCAGGAATAAGCACCTTAGTGATCCAAAGGAAGCCAACCTGCTGCTGCTGTTTGATTCGAGGCGGTTAGTGAAATAAACATGTGCAAGACTCAAGGCTACAGAGGTGACTAAAAAGCTTTTCATCACTTTAAACATGTCAATGTGACAATTAGGCCTCTGTTTGGCAGGAAGCAGCACTAGAGACAGTCTTGCATATCATCTCTACAACCCCTGATACCTCAGAATTCGGTAATACATATCAGTTTATGGTTACATGTGAATGATCTCACACGATGTCTTACTTTCTCTGAATGTAGGACGATGGAGCGCCACAGGCATGCTGCTCGAGGTGAAGATTTCGACTACCCCCCAATGATTATGGAATCTGGTGGTTTCAGTCCAACTCCTCATCCTCCTCCATGGCTGGGACCCCCACCTCCATATGAGGTTGCCATCAAGACAACATGTAGCTCTACACACCTGCGGCGTGCATACTCAGACACACACCTGGCATCAGAGCCCTTGTTTGGACAGTCAAGAGAGATCAGCTTTGAGGTGTGATGACTGGGGATCCTGCTCAGACTATGCTGTAGTTTTCTTTTCATGGTAACAAACTTTTTCACTCACTTGAAGCATGGGTCTTTCTTGGTGTTAGCATGCTTTCTGCAAGTTTCCTGTAATTTAAAATTATGCAATGATGCTAAGGTTAAATGCATTGAGAGTATATATAAAAGGGGCTGAAGGGATGCCACACACTGGTTTGCAAAGTCCCATTTTGAAGCCTCAACTTTAGCACAACGAGCACAAATAATTTGCTTAAAATGCACCAAAAGGCACAAAACCTCATAGAGAGATTTAGATCAATGGAGTGACTTGAATTATCAGAGCTGAAGCCAAACACCAAAGCGCCATCTGCTCACCCCCACCTGCAATAATAATTATAACTTTAAGCCTTAACATGTACAGTTGATAAAAGGCGAGATTTAGAGATGAAGATCAAAACCGTCTGCTCTACCACGATGAAAACATATTTGCTTTTTCTTCTCATGTTCTCATATTTCATCAACAAGCATTTCAACATGGGGACCCCTCAGGTTTGGAGCCAGGAGTTTGTAGTCTTTAAAGGAACGTCCATGTGGCTTCATTTTTCAACCCATGGTGTTGCCACTTGGTTAAATTTATATCCATCATTGGAGGCTGGAGCTTATTTCAGTGGTCTTGGGACAAGAGGTGGGGGTAACACAAAGAAACATTAAGCTAAGATGCTTTCATAGTCTTTGGGCTGTGGGAGGAAACCGGAGTACCAGGAGAAAACTCACAAAGGGAGGCACATGAAAAACATGCACACTCCACACAGAAAGGCACCAGCTGGATTCAAAACCAGGACCTTGTTGCTGCAAAGTAAAATCTGAATAACAGCATCATTGTGCTGGTCTTGGTTAAATGCATAAGATACCAAATTCATCTTTATTTGACCAAAATAAAGCACAAAGGCTTTTTAAACTAACACTGATATATTTATACACAAGAAATTCAATGCCAGGTCCTGTGGATGTGATGCAGGCAGTCACCCATCTATGCCAAATGTGTGGATCCTTTGCTGAGGAATTGCTCTCCATTCCTGGATGAGTGCAGTCTGCAGCTGCACAGTCGTCCATGGTTGTGGCTGCCTCTGTTCAACATGTTCACCCAATAGTGCCAATATTGCATTTTGTTGAGTCAAAATGTACACAAAAGTCATGGTTTTATGTGAGGCTACATGTTAGTTTAAACAGTAAATTCCAGCCTTTATGCTAAGCTTTCCCACACCAGAAACATTAAGCGCCATGGAGACTTAATGAAAAAGAAAACCTACAAAGTACTGGGAATGCTGTATTCATCATTTCTTTAAATTTCTGTCTGACTGATCTGGACAACTGGATAATCCTCCTCTGTGGGATGGGGATTGTGGCTTTCAAACAATGCAGATGTTCTCTGGGAATAGCAATCCTTCAGTTCATGTGCCACACATGTACTCATCAGCTCGGTGAGGGCAGGGGAACGATGACTCATCTAACCATATGAGTTTTTCCACTGCTTGATAGACCACTGCAGCTCACTGGCAATGCTGCATGAGTTTCAAGGGTTACAAAATGACCTATTGTGCCCTCACAGTTGCTGTCATTAGAAGGATCCCTTTGTGCGTTTGCATTTTTAAAACATTTTAACATGACTACTGTTGTTGTAATACAGTGCAACATGGAAATCAACTATTAGAGGCCTTAAACATATTTCTCTTTAAGCATGTGAAATTCAGGTGCTGTCTGAAATCTACAACTTTAAGGATTTGAGGAATGGATCAACCCAAAATGCCTTTATATGCTTTTAGTTTTTTTTAAATAGAATAAAAGTTAAACAAGGAAGTTAGGGAAAGGAGACTTTGAGCAAGAAAGACTTTTCGGAACAGTTCAAACTCGGAAGCAGAAAAGTACCCTTCTGTGTTTATAACATATCAATCAAAGATAGTAAACTAGACAAAACTATGGTGTTACTCATGATTATGTTTGTGTCTTTTGTCTCTCCAAGTTCATTTTCATTCTATCGTAAAATTAAAAAAAAAAAAGCCCTGGATTTTTTTTCTGTTCTTGGTCATCTGCCGCGTATCAGACTGCTCGTCATTTATTCTTCACAGTTTATTATATTATAAACTACAGTGACATATGAGCACCTCTCAAACGGAACAGCTGGCTTCAGCTTACATGAGTCACAGGATCATGGTTGTCTCACCGTGTAGCTTGCAACTGTTTGTTTAGGTCTGAATATGCATGTATCTGCTATGCGCTTGGAAAAGGCAACTCAAGAGAGAACTGTGCATTGATTTCAGTCTCTGTGAGAGTGTGATTTCAACTTTGTTTAATAAAAACAAAAAAGCTGACAGTCTCAGATGTTTGATTGTCTCATTAACCAGGAAAGTTGACAGGATTTAAGGCTGTACTGCCACACTGCCGTGTAATAACTGAAAATAAATCATTTAGCATTTTTTGGCAAGTACAAGCATAAAGTGGCGTGTTTCCAAATTACTGCATTTATAAATGCACTTTGCAGACTTTTTTTGTGTGATTGATACATTTGACAGAGAACAAATCAGAAAAAGTAGCAGCAGACTGTTGAGAACATGGTGGATGTAGCCTGATGGATGATTTAATAATAATGAAAATGCTTACGAGCATATAAATGTATGTTGATCATAATGAATGTTTTTAATCTTTTAATCAGGAAACAGTGTTATCAGCCTGAAACACACTGGCTTCCCCAAAATGCCCAGTTTACATCACAGCATACTGACTGAGAGCCACTGGTCCAGCTTTCAATAAATCTTAATGCAGCTTGATGTTGCTGAGCTTTCAGCTGAGACCACTATCAATACCAGTGATTGCTTAGAGCAACTTTTATTGACACAGTGGTAAATGGTAAATGGCCTGTATTTGTATAGCGCTTTTACTAGTCCCCCCTAGGGACCCCAAAGCGCTTTACCCACCCAGTCATCCCCCCATTGGTGGAGGCAAGCTACAGTTGTAGCCACAGCTACCCTGGGGCAGACTGACAGCGAGGCTTCTGTCAGTCATCGCGCCATCGGCCCTTCTGGCCAACACCAGCAGGCGGCAGGTGAAGTGTCTTGCCCAAGGACACAACGACCGAGACTGTCCAAGCCGGGGCTCGAACCGGCAACCTTCCGATTACAAGGCGAACTCCCAACTCTTGAGCCACGACGCCCGCATCATTTGGCTCTCACCGCTTCTGTCGCACTGAGACTTCCATTTAATCAGTTTGGAGTCAAAGTTCAGTCACTCAACTGATTTATTCAGGGAATTTAATTATGACCCTAATCATTTATAAATAATAATACAAAAAAATAAAAAGAAAGAAAATTAAAAACAAACTTTTATTACAGGCTTGCAGGGGCCCCTCTTGCCATCATCCTGGGTAGTCTGACCTACCTACTTTCCCCCCATATAATTAAAGCCCCTGTTTCCAGGTATCAAGTAGGCTAAATTGGTCTACTTGGGCGGATAGTTTCTGGCCCCTGGACTGCATGTTTGACACCCTTGTTTAAGACTTGTGCTTTAGGCAACAAGTTAGATCACAGATAATGATCAGTAATGGAGCGATTACTAACGCAGTCGTGCGTCACGGAGCCGCATTTTCAGTTTCTTCGGAATCAATCATTAATAATAAGCCAGTCGTTTCCTCCACTATCAGCCTGTATTTCATTTGTAGGCTGTGATCATCCCGCTCCCCACCAGGCGCTTCTTCAGCTCGGCTTAATAGCCTACCCTATATATCTTGCTTTACGCAGAGTTTATCGCCCCATGTATAAGAGATGGCTATAACTGTCTCTCTCTGTGCAAACAGCTTTACCAAACATAGGCTAAGTGACAATGTTCAAACCCAGTGGACGCCCTGCCCTCCATTCCTCGTCACCGAAACCCTTCCTAGTGAGGAGGGAAAAAACACACTTCCTCACAGCGCACGTCCCTGCTGCTGCTGCTGCTGCTGTTGCTGTTGCTGGGGCCAGATGAAAGCCACACAGTATTCTTCAAGCATGCGACATCAGCTGCTATCCAACAGATTTTTGGTATCGTAATCGTTCCCCTCCAAAAAACAAAAACGGATATGCTTCTTCCGGGAGGGAATAAAGCAGAGACGCAGAGGAGCACATCATGAGAGAGGCGCCGCCGATTCTCAGGATATACGGACTGAACCGGATGGACTGCTTTCCCCACATTTTATTCACAGATCGGGAAACAGGCACACGTGTTAAAGTTGATGGCAAGGAGAAGAGTGATGGTCACACTTTCAGTCCACGCATTAGCTGAACATCTTCTCACCGCGACTTCCTATCAGGTAGAGAGGGGATTGATGTTTATCACAACGAGAACGCACGAGAGATCATTTACATGTTGCACGCAATCCGGTTTTTCCTCTTCAAGTCGCTTTCATTTTGTAATGTTGCATCTGTGTAGTTTCTCTTTTGTAGTCTTGCATCTTAGCCTTTTTGTTTCTCTCCCCTCAGACAGGTTGTGGTTGAGGTGAAGGTACAGCTGTAGCTGGAAGAAGCTCTGGAGATGTCGGTCCACCATGGCACGCTGCTTTGTCTGGGCGTGCTGATGATGACTGCTGGGGCGGTCATGGCCCTTGGTGGATGGGTCCAGCCGCCAGGCCTGCTCTTTGGACTTGGGCTGCTCCTGGGATTGGGGGGCATAGGTCTGCTGGTCAGTGGACTCTGCATGGCCATGAAGAATCTTCAGATTGCGGTGCCTGGACACTTTCTGCTGCACCCACGGACAGGCACACGCTTCAGCCCACAGCAGGCTCTGGCAATACAAAGGTACCTACAGAGCTGAAAGAGACAGAAGCTCACAGTCGTTTGGACACAGATGTTCTTTTGTGGTGTTGTAATATTTTTTATTTTTAAGTCTGAGGGATATCCTGGAGCGGTGGTTTTCAATACAAGTTCCATTTGTGATGATAAATTAGGAATAAGGACAGCAAAGAAGACAAGACATGCTTTTGTTTGTCGTGTGTAAAATATTTGATAATTTCACAACGTTTTGGGCCTCTGACGAAGATTAAAAAACACGGCAACTTGTGACAGCATCATAAGTCAACAATACTAGAAATCTACAGTTGTGGCAGCTCAGTAAGGCTCTGCTGATTGTCAACGTCAGCATGCAAACATGCTTATCATGCTTTTAGTCAGCAGGTATGTGTAACATGTTGACCATCTTAAATAACAGTGCTGTCATTAGTTTTTGCAGGAACTTGATAAGCCAGAGTTGGGCAAATGATTCAGCTCTGATGATAACGAGAAGTGTGTGTGTATCAATTTATGTGCTAATCTGTCCAGTCTTTGTCGAGATTTTTATCTCAGAACCACAAATGGGCCTAATGATGGCACTAAAGGGGATTCAGTGGATTGTAAAAACTTTGCTAAAAGGGAGCAACATTATCTCAGGAAAGAGAAAAACTCTCTTTTTCTGTAATCCTGTTGCTATTCAGACTTCCCTTTCTCTGTTGCTGGTGACAAATGAGCACACTTCCAGACAATACACAAACACACCATCCAAGTGTCTTTTTGTTGAACAGATCTCTTTGTGTTAGTTTTAGTGTACATTCTGACATGCCAAGAACCGGAAAGCAACAGATTCTCTGATTATGTGCTGATTGTAGAAGTAGGTCATGGAGAAAACAGCAAACATGTAAATGTGGAGAAATGACTCCCCTTGGCACTGTCTGTAGTAATCTATGATGGCTTGCAAATTTAAACAAGGTACAGTCTGGTCTTTGTCTGTGGAAGAGAGATGGCAAGAGCAGAGTTTTCATCATCAGGGCCTTTTCTCCCCCGCAGACACTGACAAAACTCAGACTGATAAGTATTTCTAAACGCAAAGTAACGCTTCATTGTGACAGCGTACTGTCTGAGGGATTAAAGAATTCGGGGTTCTACCTGCAGTAACGTTATCTACATAATGTGTTTCCCAAAAGGAAGCGAACGCCTGTAGTTGAAACACATTGCTGGAAAAGCAGTGAGATAAGAAGCAGCTGTGGCGTGTGAAAGTGTGAAAGGAGATCAAATGTAACCCACTAAAAGCATTTGAAGTGAAAAGTGAAGTAAGACTCGACCACAGAGCTTTCAATTTATTTATTTTTGATAACTTCTCATTGGCTCTCTTTCTCCACGTAATTAGGAGATTGGACAGAATACGTCGCGAGATGTCGGCGGACACTGTAGACAGGTCACCAGAGCCTGAACCCACCATGCCGTCCACCCCTCCGCCGTGGACCATGGAGCCGCCTCCATCCTACGACGCAGTGATGAAAAGCCAGGAGCGCAATGAACAGCTTTAAGCTCAGGTGGACATGCTCAATTCATGTCAGTGCGTTTTGTGTCCGCGGTTCTCCACAAGGACTTTGAAAGAACAGCCGGTGCTATCAGTGAACTCGTTGCAGCGGGACGTTTAGGTGCCTTAGCACAGACACGCTGATCCCAAACATAAGACAAAAAACAGCGACAGACTGCAGCTGGTTAACAACTTAATATTTTTACAGACTGGGCCCCAGTTTGGCCTTTATGTCTAATAAATATGTGTGTTCTGACTGATTGTGAAAGAAATCGAAATGATTACTACAACTGCTTTTACTCTTTGTACTAAGGGGGGGGGGGCTTTCTTGAGACCAACATGTTGTAGGCTCAACTTTTACAACCAAGTTCATGGATGGATTTTATTGGCCTGCATGAATTTATGTGACCTACTACTGTGGCTGCATGGCACGCTTCTCCACACGTAATAACTTTCTTTTTCCCCCCCTTCTCACGGCTGCACAGCTCCTCTTTGTATCTGTAGATTATTCCAAAGCAAAAGTGCCTTACCAAACATCAGCAGAACCTTAACAGGGAAGTGTTGTTCATCACTCAGCTTTGTTTATACTGTTGTGATTTCACTATAAATGCGAGTGAATTATTAGCCACGAGGCTCCCTGCGAGTGGTGTTGCACTTATAAATGAGAGATTGTTTATTTGAAAAAGAAATTAATGCCAGAAAGGCAAAGAATGTAAATGTCTACATATTTAAAATCATTTCTAATCCAAGCAAACATAAATGTAGACTCAACTCTGTTCCCAAGCAGAGCTGTGAGACTCATTTTGCCAGCAGCTTGAGGCAAGGTGACTTACCAGGTACAAGTACACACCTGCAATTGTATACCTGACCTGGGCAGGCTGTCTGCAGGCTGTAATAAGCAGCAGAGTGGAACTCTAACTGAGTTTCCTCCACCCTCACCTTCAAGCCCTGAAACTGTACCAGACAGAATTTTTCCTTTCTGCGTGACAGGTGCCTCGCTTTGAGACGAGGCAGCAGTGCGATGGTAGAGGGGAAACCATATCGTTATGGACTGATAGTGGCCGGCCTGTGTGTCTTGGCAGTTGGCCTCTTCATCATGATGCAGGAGCGGCCACATGTTTTTGCTACTTTGTGCGTTCTGGGTGTCACTATGGTGTGCGCTGGGACTGTGTGGAGCCTCTGCCAGTGCTATCCTAAGGTATATGCTATGTGTGTGTGTGTGTTTAGTGGATAGAGAGACAGGAAATATGTGATTGTTGCCAAGAAGAAATAGATTTGGTAATGGAGATTGTGTGTTTATTAGGTCATTGTGGCTCATGAAATTCAGGAAAAAAGCCTAGAAAATATCATGGGTCCTGTGGCTGAAGATGAAAGGTACGCTCCCTAAAACACACACATACACACACGCTCACTTTGTATCCTAATGGGCCACAGACAAGTGGGTGTTGACTGAGGCCTTAATGATTCCCTTTGGTCTGTCAGAGTAGCTCAGAATGCTAAGTGCCCATCGAGTAGTGGGTGAACATGGCGACAGCAGCGGTGTGTGTGGGCAGGCCGGTGCTGTGGGTCTGCACTAAATCACTGTAGATATTCATTTTATTATTGTCCTGTTTGCTTAATGGAGAGAGGTTAGGAAAAGTGGAACAGAGGGAAAGGAAGAGCCACTAGACAAAAGGTTGGGACTGAAAGGGGCAGATTAGTTGGAAACTAGAGGGCAGAAAACCATTAATGCAGATGAAAATCCTTGAGCCTCATTTATTCCAGCTGCAGTCAAAAAAAGAGGTTGTACTGTGCAACTCCTGCATGAGTGTTTGCAATTACAAGAGAGTTCTGCAGCCAGATAGAGACATGCATGCTCAGCGAAACCCTGTCTCTGATGCACCAAAAAAAGTAAGAAAATGAGGACAAAATACTGGAACCAGACTTCTATTTCTGTACCCCCACCCACCCAACCCCCACCCCTTCTGATTTAATTTTAGACACACTGAAGTTCTGCCAGGTTTCTGTGGCCGAAAGCTGAGCAGCGTCACACTTCTCCCAGAGACCCTGAAGAGTCAGTGTCATAGCTGTCCCACTCTGCATCTGGTCTGAGGGAGGGACGACACTACCAGAGGACTCCTCCAGGGTACCACACTGCTCTCAGGATAGTGAGGAGTCCCCTCGATGAATTTTTATACTTCCTTTCTGCATCACTCACACATCTTGCTGTTTGAATGTGCCTTTCTTTTGTTTTCTTTTTACATCTAATGGAAGCAACTGACCATGTATCAACGGTTTTGCACCACTTGTCATTGTGAAACGCTTAATAAAGCTAATTAAGTGTTATATAGTATTTCCAGAAGATGGCACTGTTTACTGTATGAAAGTATGTCTGTGTGTCTGTTAGACAGAGTGCAGCACTGCATTTATATAGTGTACAATAATTCAATTATGACATTTTGGCCCCTCAGTGAACTTGTGCTCTCTTATAGCTGGATAAGCTATAAGCCTGTGTGATGTGACAAATCTCCACGTGTTTCTTTTCAAAACGCTTATCTACACTGGCTGTTGAGACATTACTGCCACCAACTGTTGAAGAACAAAGTGAAACTGGCAGCAGGAATTTGTAGAGTTCTGCATGTCTCTCTTTGTGGATACGCTGTTTGCATAGCTAAACGGGCGTTATTACCAGTCTATTACCAGTAATAACAGAATAATTCCACAATGCCAGAATTTATGATGTATAGCTGAGAGGTTAGATATTTTTGTAGCTTCTCTGTTGCTGTAAAATCAAAATGTACATTTCATCATTCTACTTTGGTGTTTCTGGCGTGACATTCCTCGGGCTCAGTCCAAACCAAACTCAGTGACACAATCAAGCGGGTAGCTTTGTCGGATTTGGGCTCCTCCAGAGCCCCAGAGGGTATTATGTAACAGTTTCCTGAGTTCAAAAAGTAAAGGGATCATGCTTTGAAAAAAAATGTTTTTTAAAAAACATATAACTCATTGTAATAATTATTACTTTTCTTATTCTTTTCAAATGGAAGTGTATGAAACTGCTAACAGTTTTGAGTGCTTAAAGTTAAAAACGCGTACAGTAGATACAATGTCAGAGTAAAATAGAGACGCACGCGTTTTGCGTCGCATTCTGCAGTCCTGCGCACATATTAAATAAAAAACAAACA